TTTCTCTTATTATTTAAGTAATCATTTCTTTTATTTTCTCTCCTAGGTTCCCAAACACAGTGTTATATTTAATCAAGTAAACAAACAAATTCTAAATACAGCATAATTCAAGAAAACTTAGATGATAACAATAATTTTTAATGCACTTTCATCACTCAAAAAACACAGCAACAGTACCTTAGGGAACACAAAGAGAACAAAAAAAGCAGAATATGAACACAAACATTGAGACGCCGAGGGAGAGACAGACAGAGAATGAGTAAGAGAGGGAGAGAGGATTTATACCTCAATTTGTTTTTAGGGAGAGTAGAGTACTCTAAAAAGAGATAGTTCTCTAACTAAAGATATAACGCATATCACCAAGCTTTAGTAAACCCTAAGTCTACTGGAAAATTTATTCTAAAAGAAGAGACACATGTGCACTCAATTTTTGGATCGTAGATCTATCTGCTATTTCTTCTTCTTGCAGTTCTTCTTCTTTGTCTTCTTCTTCGAGGATGAAGAAGAAGCTGAAGATGAACAGTTCATCATATGAAGAAGCTTATATCCGATCAGATAACAAAGATAGGGTTCGGACATTGCGTATTTCACCTTTTCATGAAAAAAGTGAGCATTGTACCAGCTGTAATTGCCCCTGTCATACTTCTGGAACCACTCCACCTTGTATCGACAAGGCCTAAAGACGAAAACGTGCTTCCCTAACACGACCCTGGCCAATCGATTGAGATAGTGCAGCAGATCCAGATCGTCTCTTCTCAGCCCCTTCAACGCCATAGAATTCAAATCCATCGGATTCGCAACACTGATTTCGTGGTTCCTTTCGAGCTTCCTTGCAACAGAGGCCATGTCCATACCAACAACGATGACTCGACGATCATCGAAGAACTTTTGGAGAGATTTGGGGATACGGTAACAGAGGCGCCGAAATGAGATAGTTTTGTGGGAAATTTGAACATTGGGGAATTTGGGAGGGAGGTAAAACGTTGAGGACCTGTTTGGTTGATTTTTTTTCTTGGAAAATATATTTTTGAATTTTTAAACATTGTTTGGTTTTATTTTTTTGAAATTTGAGTTATTTATTTAATTTTTTTATTTTTAATGAATATTTTTAAAATTTTAAGTAATTTTTTTAGACTTACCTTACTTACATGTATCAAAAAAGTAAACTCTTTGTCAAAAAATATTTTAAAAAATTAATTAATACACAAGAATATGAAAAATGTACTAATTTCTCATTTTTTTTATTTTTATTATTTAGTGAATTTTTTAAATATTTTTTCACAAATATTATACTTTTAAAGTGTATTTATGTTTGGGAAATCAAAAAAAAATTAAAAAAATTAGAATATAACATTTAGCAAAAATTTAAAAAAATATGAAAAATAAAAAATTTCAATTTTCTGAAAAAGTAAATACTGAAAATCCAAACCAAACAAGCTGATCATATCCTTCGTAAAATTATATAAAATTGACAAATAAAGTAGTTTTGTTTTTTTAAATTTTTTAACAAAACTAATTTTTAGTCTTAAAAAAATAAATTTGAATCAAGTTTTAGATAATCAAACCAAACATGGCCACTCCCTCGACTTCGGAAAGAGTTTTGATTTTGTTAATTTGGTTATGTCAACTTTGGGTTTTGTGGGCTCATCTGGAGACCAATTTGGGCAATCCGAACCATTCACTTTTTACAATTTATTGACTAGAATATTCATGAAAAAAATCAAGAAAATTGGATGTCGGTAACTATATGTTCGAAATACATTTAGATGGATAATTTGAGAGAATCCAAACTCCTTTAGAAAGTTTTAAATGAATTGAAATTTTGACGAATTGTTAGATCATTAAAAGTTTAGGTGAAGCTTCCAGTGGCTGAAAGCAAATTTATAAGAGAGATTACAAGGAAAATGTGAGAGAGAGAAAGAGAAGAAGGCAAAGAAGAAGAAGAAAAAGAAATGTAAAATTGGAATCTGAACGAACGAGAGAAAGGAATGAGAGCAGATGGAGACCATAGCACCTATACATACACAATCAATGGATTAGGGCTTTGAAACTAATGGAAGAGAAAGGAAAAAGAATGGGAAATATATCAAATGACTAAGATCAAACCAATATTTAAGGGTTGTTTGGAATGTCCTAAATAAGTGTACTTTTTGACTTTTTGGACTAAAAAGTTGAGGAAAAAAATATAGTTGTTTGGGTTAACTTTTTGACTTTTTATGAAAAAATGTGTATTAAAAAATTGTATAAATTAGTATATATTGTGTAAATTATGTTTGATTAAAATATTATGAATATTAATTTGTACTTTTTGACTTTTGGTGAATAGTGATAACTTTTTAAGTAATTTTTTGACTTTTTTGACACATGCCAAACTTGGCCTTAGGATTTCAGGCAACGGTGACCAACAAGGAGGTAAATCAGTGCTCTGATTGCCGACGAATGCGATGCGGAGCGGCGAGGAGAGCTGTTTCGTGGCTAGTGGAGTGACGACGAGAGAGGAAGGGGAGGGGAGAGGAGCAGCGAAGAAGAAGCGGGAGAGGAAGAGGGAGAGGAAGAGAGATGCTGAAGAGAGACAGAGAGAGGCGCTGGTTTGTTTAGGGTTTGGTTTGGAAACAAAATATATAAATCCCTCTAATTCGCGACTACTAAACATTATTGGTCACCAATTTATAATATAAATTCCTCCAAAATTTGAAATGTCTCCCTCCAAATATTTTAGTTCTTTGGTAACTAAAATTTTTTTTAGTCGCTGAAAATAAATTTTTGGCGACCTAACTTGTGGTTGCCAAAGAAAAAAAGTAAATTATTGTTTTTCATTAGGCAACTAAATAATTTTAGTAGTCAAAATTATACAACGACTAAAATATTTTTTAGTCATTGAAAAAAAGAATTTGGTGACGAAAAAACAAAAAAAATAAATTTTTGGTTTTCATTCGGCGACTAAATAATTTTAGTAGCTAAAACTAACTATATAGCGACTACAATATTTTTTAGTCACTGAAAATAAAGTTTGGCGACCAAACTTTTGGTTGCCAAAGATAAAAAGAAATTTTTTGTTTTTCATTTGGCGACTAAATAATTTTAGTAGTCAAAACTATCTATATAGCGACTAAAATATTTTTTAGTCGCTGAAAATAAATATTTGGCGACCAAACTTTTGGTCGCAAAAAAACCAAAGTAAATTTTTGTTTTTTATTCAGCGACTAAATAATTTTAGTAGCTAAAACTATCTATACAGCGGCTAAAATATTTTTTTGTCGTTGAAAATAAATATTTAGCGACCAAATTTTTGGTCACTAAAGATAAAAAGTAAATTTTTGTTTTTCATTTGGCGACTAAATAATGTTAGTAACCAAAACTAACTATACAGCGACTAAAATATTTTTTAGTCGCTGAAAATAAATATTTAGCGATCAAACTTTTGGTCGTCAAAAATAAAAAGTTAATTTTCGTTTTTCATTCGGTCACTAAATAATTTTAGTAGCCAAAACTAACTATATAGCGACTACAATTTTTTTTTTTGTAATCACCAATTGTGGCAAATTTAGCGACTACTTTTTTTTTCGTTACCCATTGTGACATTTTTAGCGACTAAATTTTGTTTTAGTCACCAATAATCAATATACCCCGACTAAAAAAAATTAGTAACTAAATATTGTACTTTTGCTGACAAACATAATTTTTAGCCGCCAATTCCACAACTTTTGGTGACCAAAATATTTTTAGTCGGCAATAGTGGTTGCCAAAAGTGTATTTTCTTGTAATGTGGACTACTAATAATGTTTTAAATATGCTAGAATTAATTTGATGAAGAAATGAGAATTGTCGTTTGATTAAGGCCAAATTGTGCAATACTGAGGCCGTTAATTAGAATCTCTTAACTTTACTTACTTATTAAACTGTATATTTTATGTGTGTTTAATGTCAATCAGGTTGTACATAGTCGGAGCATAAAATGGGCAAAACGATAGAATTTTGAGAAAAAACAGATTATCGCACGTGCGTTGACTTTGTCCGCACGTGCGTTGACTTTTCTTGGAAAACAGGCCCGATATTTTAAACCTGTTTGAAAGGCAGTAGAAGCATAAATAGGAAAGAAAAAGGCTGGATTAGGGTTCGAAAATTGTTTTGGCAAGGAAAGAGAGTATAGGGTTCCAAGAGGTGACTTTTTCCAAAAAGCTTGAAGGACGCTTCCATGCGGTCTTCTTCCTCTTCTCACTCCTCCATGAGTGGCTAGTCTTCTTTTCTAGGGTTTTGATGAAACTCTAGCCATGTAATTAGGTTTTTCTTTTTGATTTTCAATTATGTAAAAGTTTGAATAATTGTATGATGTTTTAGAAGTTTCATATATATATTTTTCATTATTTTTTCAAATATTCGGCTTTCTGTGATTGTTGAATGTTTCTATACAAGAGTTTTCTGTTCTTTCACATTCAAAGTATGAGACGAACCATACTATGAAAGACGAGTCGTGTCACTAATCTAGTTTAGAGTGAACGATTCGTACTACTTGAGATCGTTCGTGCTCGTACATTGAACGTGATGATTTTCTTGTTAAATGCTTTGGACTTGTAGTTGCGAAACATTATTCTGTTCGAACCATAACATAATTGATTTCAATTGGAAACCCTATTTACGTGTCTAATGGTGGGCTCTTTGCCCTAGGTTTTTCCCCAAATCAGAAAATCCAATTTTATTTATAATTGATAATTTAATTACTTAGTTTAATTTATTTGTTATCAAATTAGGTTATGAACAATCAATCTTTTCATCAAAATTAATTAAAAAATTTAACAATTAAATTAATTTAATTTCATGATAGTCTCTGTGAATCGATACCTAGACTTACCATTATTTTTAAAGAATTTGGCATAGTTTTGTGTTTAAATTTGGTGCGTTCAACGACCCATCAAATTTTGAGTCGGCAAAAGTGATCGTCAAAAGTGTATTTTCTTGTAGTGTGGGCTACTAATAATGTTTTAAATATGCTAGAATTAATATGATGAAGGAATGAGAATTGTGGTGCTTGTGATCTAATTCTTGGAAATGAAAAGTTGAGAAAACTTTGGAGTGACACCAAGAGAAGTTTGTAGAACCACTGGAGATAAAGCTTTCCATATAGATGTATTGCCACTTGACTCTCCAAACACAGGTCTGCAAAGAGAAACAATTAAGAAAAAATTAGTCGAAGAACACAAAAACTAATCACAAAATTGAATGAGCTTTCCTTCTCACAATTGAGAAGGAAGGTACTTACTGTGAAGAAGTTATGACAGAGAAACACTCCATCCCATCTCCACCTGCAACTATGGCTACCACAAAGAACCTTGGCACAACAAACAAGTCACCACCATGCACTTTGGTGTCCAAAGCAAGCTCACCATTGATCCCCCACAATTTGAACCCTACCACTGCCTTTCACAATGTAAGTTACCTCAACTGATGAACCAGCACTGTACAATATTGGTGACATTTCATAAATTTGCACCCAACTTCACAAGCTTGGCATTGAGCCCAAATTGTTCAAGCAAAGGCAGTTCTTTTGCAGTAAATTTTGTCAGCAATCCACCATTCTTGACATCTGTGTCGGCCAATGCAGTCTTGATGTTGATGACTGTGTTGTTGCTGGAAGGGACGAAGTCAGAAATTTTGGTTAGATGCGGTAAATGTAGGGTTTTTCTTTTTTTTTTGGGAATGACAATTACTTGCATAAGTAGTATGAAAAGAATTGGTAAGAGCAATTAATAAATGGATAAATTACATTAACTTTCTTGAAATTTTAAAAAAATACAATAAATACTATAATCTCTAAATTCGCATAATACTTAATTCTATTTTTATCAATAATTTATTAGTCAAATATGAATGAAAAAATTGCGTTATCTTCTTTTTTATATTGAAATATATATTTTTTTCTTGTGTCTTCACGCTATTTGCATTAGTTTCGATCCATTTAACTTTATTAAAAAAGAAGTCGATGTAATTATTCCAAAACTATAAAGCTACTTATATTTCTTCAAACGTTAAGGAAGGTTAATATAAATTTTAAAACAACGAATAAATTATGTTTTCTTGAGTTTTTAGAGTTTGTAAAAAATTTCAAAAACCAATTATGCAGGAAAAAAAAAAGGATAAATTACAAATATATCCCTTGAAGTTTGCATTAGTTTCGATCCATTTAACTTTATTAAAAAATAAGTCGATGTAATTATTCCAAAACTATAAAGCTACTTATATTTCTTTAAACGTTAAGGAAGGTTAGTATAAATTTTAAAACAACGAATAAATTATGTTTTCTTGAGTTTTTAGAGTTTGTAAAAAAATTTCAAAAACCAATTATGCAGAAAAAAAAAGAATAAATTACAAATATATCCCTTGAGGTTTGCTTAAAGCACAAATTGTCTCATATAGTTTAAAAAATTATAAATATCCCCTTGTTAGAATTTTTTATTTAATAGAATTAATTAAAAAAATAAAATTCATAACTATTGTCTTATACAATAATAAAATTACCTAAATTATTAATTGAAACATATTTCTAATATCATTAAAAACGGTTAATTGACTTGATGATTTATTAATAAAAATGATAATTTGTTATGAAATTATAAACTTCTGAGATGGAATGTAATTTCCAAAATAATAAGAAACGATTCGTATTTTAATCAAATTTGTATTTGTAATTTACCCCAAAAAAAAAAAAAAAAAAAAAAAAAAAAAAACCCATTTTTGACAAAATTAAAATTTTAGGATTTATTTTTATCACAAGACTCAAATCCAAAAGTTTTTTTTTTTTTTTTTTTTAATTTTCCCAAAAAAAAAAAAAAAAAACAATAACACTCATTGTACTGACATTGTTCTCTCCTTTTTTAAAGCGGAAATAAGTTTTGTATATTCAAAAGTATATCTTTTAATATCTATTTTTGTCAAATTGATTTCTAATTTTTGTTAAAAATATACAGAAGACTCAACCAACCCCCCTATTCCATTGTTGGTGTCTTTGCATGATTGGGGCATATTTGTTCCTTCTTCAAGCTGGATGATCAAAGTCTCTGTTTGGCTCTTCACCAACTCATTTGCTTCTTCTTTTTTTATGTTACTAGCATATCACCCGTACTATGTACGGATTGTGTTTATAATTATCTATATATGTGAATTGTAATTTTTAAATATTTTTTTTCTGTCTTTTTTTTTTTCTTTTTTATATTATATTAAAGTTTAATATTTTGATAATAATCATATGTGTTAGACTTTTAATTTTTTTATGTCTTCTTTTTTTTCTTTTTTATATTATATTAAAGTTTAATATTTTGATAATAATCCTATGTGTTGGACTTTTTAAGGAATTAAATGTTTTTTTTAATTATATTATATTAAATTTTAATATTTTGATAATAATCATATGCGTTGGACTTTCAAGAAATTTTTTTTATGCTTGTTCTTAATGCATTAAAGTATTATTATGAGGGAAAATAATCATATGTGTTGGGACTTTTCAAGAAATTTATATGTGTTGGATTTCAAAGAATTTTTTTTTATGCTTGTTCTTAATGCATTAAAGTGTTATTATGAGGGTAAGATTTTAGGGAGAAGTTAATAAATGTTAAGGTTTTTTTTTTTTAAATCAAAAAGTAAAGAAATATAGATTGGGAGATTGGAGCTCCCACAAGCATAAAGATACTATACTATATATAATAACAATCTCCAATCTCCCTTATGCATTAAGGGAGCTCCAATCTCCCAATCTAAATTTCTTTACTTTTTGATTTAAAAAAAAAACCTTAGCATTTATTAATTTCTCCCAACCCCCAAATCTTACCCTCATAATAACACTTTAATGCATTAAAATCAAGCATAAAAAAAAATTCTTTGAAATCCAACACATATGAATTCCTTGAAAAGTCTCAACACATATGATTGTTTTCCCTCGTAATAACACTTTAATGCATTAAGAACAAATATAAAAAAAATTTCTTGAAAGTCCAACACATATGATTATTATCAAAATATTAAACTTTGATATAATATAAAAAAGAAAAAAAAAGGCATTTAAAAAAAAAAGATATTTAAAAATCGCAATTCACATATATAGATAATTGTAAATATATTAAGGAAAATGGGGTTTCTAAACCTCAAGCCTTGTGGGAGCTTCAATCTCCCAATCTTAATTTTCTAAATTTTTGATTTAAAAAAAAAAACCTCAGCATTTATTGATTTAGTCAAAATCTCCTGATCAGCATTTTTTCCAATCCACATGCCTGCATTTATTAATTTGCTCAAAATCCCTGATTAACATTTAAAATCTCCTTATACAAATAATTATAGATACAGCCCGTGCATAGTTACTGCAGTAGCCTTTTTAATTTCTCCTGTACACTATGGTTAGTGATAAGATTGTTAAATTATTTTTATAAAAAATCTTAAAAAACATAATTTATATATTAAAAAAATTATAATTATTCCGTGCATAAAACGGATGATAGGCTAGTTATATATTAAGTAAAAGAAGGTTTTATGCTATCTAACTAGAGAAAATAAAAAGATTAAATCACATTAAAAAAAAGAACCATGAACAAATTACAATTTTCTAACTTCAATTATATTAAAAAATCAAATTATAAACAAAATGAGATAACTTTAATCATACAAATCACAATTTTTTTAATGCTATCTAACTACAATCACATTTTTCTCATAATAAATAAATAATTGAAAAAAAGAACCATTAAAATAGAAAATAAAATGATTATTTAGAGCCATTGAACAAATTACAATCACATTTTTTTTGTGAGTGTTTATGTTTATCTAACTTCAATCATATTAAAAAAATCAAATTATAAATAAAAGGAGATAACTTCAATCATACAAATCACAATTTTTTTAACGCTATCTAACTACAATCATATTTTTCTCATAATAAAAAATAACTTTTAAAAAAGAACCATTAAAATAGTAAATAAAAAGATTATTTAGAACCATTGAACAAACTACAATCACATTGTTCTTTTTGTGAGCATTTATGTTTATCTTACATCAATCATATTAAAAAAATCAAATTATAAACAAAAATAAATAATTTCACTCATACAAATCACAATTTTTTTTAATACTATCTAACTACAATTATATTTTTCTCATAATAAAAAAAATAATTGAAAAAAATAACCATTAAAATAGTAAATAAAAAGATTAGATAGAAACATTAAACAAATTATAATCACATTTTTCTTTTTATGAGTGTTTATGTTTATCTAACTTCAATCATATTAAAAAATCAAATTATAAACAAAAGGAGATAACTTCAATCATACAAATGACATTTTTTTTAATGCTATCTAATTACAATCACATTTTTTTCATAATAAAAAAAATAATTGAAAAAAAGAACCAGTAAAATAGTAAATAAAAAGATTATTTAGAAGCATTAAACAAATTACAATGACATTTTTCTTTTGGGAAAATTATTTATAAGTTCTATTAAGGAGACTTATGCTACATATGATTCTACTAAAAAACTTATATTCCCATAAGTCCTGTGGAAGTTTGTTGACACATTTACTCTCAATATTAGTTGTTAATATCACAAATAATAGTAAAACCATATATAGGAAATTGAATGTTACCATAGATCATATTTATATAAACGTAATGTAACGTGACACCTACATAAACGTAACATGACACTTATGATTTATGACAATATGCAATTTCCTATATAGGAAATTGAATGTTACCATAGATCATATATACATAAACGTAATGTAACGTGACACCTACATAAACGTAACGTGACACCTATGATCTATGGCAACATTCAATTTCCTATTTATATGAAACGTAACGTAACGCCAACATAAACCAGCAATATTTTCACATTTAATTTAAAAAAATAAAAACTCATTAAATTTGCGAAACGTAACGTGACACGGTGTCACGTAACGTAATGTGTTACGTTTATATAGGTGTCACGTTACGTTACGTTTATGTAGGTGTCATGTTATGTTACGTTTATATAAGTGTCACGTCACGTTACGTTTATGTATGATCTTCTGCAATACATTCCTATCTAAATAGAACTTGAGACTCTATAAGAAATTACACAAGACTTAGCATATCACAAGTGTCTGAAAAAAAACTTATAAATAAGTTTTCATTTTCTTTTTGTGAGTGTTTATGTTTATTTAACTTCAATCATATTAAAAAAATCAAATTATAAACAAACGGAAATAACTTCAATCATACAAATCACAATTTTTTTAATACTATCTAACTACAATCATATTTTTCTCATAATAAAAAAATAATTGAAAAAAAGAACCATTAAAATAGTAAATAAAAATATTATTTAGAGCCGTTGAACAAACTACAATCACATTTTTTTTTTTGTGAGTTAATTTCGATCATATTAAAAAATCCAATTATAAACAAAATGAGATAACTTTAATCATACAAATCACAAATTTTTTAATGCTATCTAACTACAATGACATTTTTCTCATAATAAAAAAAATAATTGAAAAAAATAACCATTAAAATAGTAAATAAAAAAGATTATTTAGAACCATTGAATAAACTACAATCACATTTTTCTTTTTGCGAGTGTTTATGTTTATCTAATTTCAATCATATTAAAAAATCAAATTATAAACAAAAGGAGATAACTTCAATCATACAAATCACAATTTTTTTAATGCTATGTAATCATCATCAATAATTTAAAAAATCAATCACAAATTAAGTCAATTGATAATTAAAAAACGCAATAATTTATTTTTCAAAAAACATAGTGAGTTAAAAAGATCAATTACAATTTTTTTTTGGGTCAAAATACATTCTAATCATCATCAATATTGGTACATTATATGACCCTAATGAATACAATCTATTTTGTTTTTCAAAAAATACAGTGAGTTAAAAATCAAATCACAAATTAAGTGAATTTGTAGTTAAAAAAACATAATAATTTTTTTCCAAAAAACACAGAGAGTTAAAAAAATCAATTACAATTTTTTTTCTAAAATACAATCTAATCATTATCAATAATTGGTACTTTAAAAATCAAATAAAAAAAATAAATCAAATCACAAATATTTTCAATCATATTAAAAAATAAAATTATAAATAAAAGGAAATAACTTCAATCATACAAATTACAATTTTTCTCTTTAATTTTTTTTTTCTCTTTGTGAGGGTTTATATTTATCTAACTACAATCACATTTAAAAAAAAGAATAATTCAACTAATTATAATTACATTTTTCTCTTTGTGAGGGTTTATATTTATCTAACTTCAATCATATTAAAAAATTAAATTATAATTTTTTATTCGTTAGACAAATCACAAATATTTTTATGCGCTATCTAACTACAATATTAAACAGTAAACAAAAGGAAAGGTCAAGAAGAAGAAAACAAAAAGAAGACTTACTGTTTACATACGTGGCCATTGAAGTTGAAAGTATAGAAGTGAGAAATCAAGAAGGAGAAAATAAAAAGGAGACTCACTGTTTGCAATAGGTATGTAAAAAATTAAAAAGAGTGTGTACATTGGAAAAGTTAAAAAGATTTGGAAGAATTTAATAAGTGCTAAGTTTTTTTTTTTCAAAAAAAATCATAAAAATAAAGGTTTAGATATTGGAACTCCCACAAAACTTGTGGGTTAGAGATAGATATAAATAAATAGATAGATATAGATATAGATATAGATATAGATATAGATACATATATTTATATTTGTTTTAAATTTTTTTTAATATACAAATTATTTGTTTTGAAAAATATACTGCAGTAATTATGAGAGAAGTCAAAAAGTCTTGTGAGTTGAGAGAAGCAAATAAATGCTGAGACTATTTTTTTTAAAAAAAAATAAAAAATTAGGAAATTAAGATTGACATATTGAAGTTTTCACATACTTTGAAATTAAAAATCATTTTTTTACTTAATATATAATATAGATGAGCTTTACAAAATACCTACTCCCTCAGTTCCAAAATATTAGTCTCTTATTCCATTTTTTATTGTCCCAAAATATTAGTCTCTCTTCAAAAATCAAATACAAAAATAATATAAATTTCCTATTTTACCCTTCTTTTAAATTAATAAACAACATAAAAAGTACAATTATGCATTGATATTCCCAAAAAATGTACTATCAAAAGGATAATTTTGGAAAATCAACTTTTTTCAAATGCAATAATTGTACTACCAAAAAAAGTTGGATTCCCCAAAAGGGACCATTATTTTGGGACGGAGGGAGTAGTTTTTTTTAGCTCATATTTTAGTCAAATAACAAAAAAATTACTAAATTAGCTTGTTCTCAAACGAGGCTAAATTTAAATCTCAAAAGATGTAAGTGTAAATTAGCCATTAAGATATTATGAAGATCGGCAATGATTTAGAGCACCAATGACATGACAATGAAAAAAAAATTAAAATGAAAACATCATATCACAATGTGTAAGATTTAGATTAATTTAAAAATTTAAAAATTAGAGTTCCAAACTATAAAGATTCATATTCCATGTTTTGGATGGTAATTTGAACTACCAATGTTTCTGGTGTACCCGACAGAAATTTATGCACCAGTCAGCCAACATAGTACTATCCACTCTGAATTTTGTAATATTAAAACACTCACCATTAATTAATATTTTATGTCTATATTTTATTATTTTAAATCGGATGTTACACAATGGGTTGGATTTCTATCGTGTCCCATTTAGTCCGTATTATTTTTTTATATTTCAATAAATTTTATAGATGACATAATTATCAAAATGTTCTTAATAATATTCACATTTACAGTATGAATGTTTGAATGTTCACATCATTAATGTGAATATTCGTACTATCAATGTAAATATTCACATTATAAAATATAAATGTTCACATCACCAAATTTCTCTCTTTGTCTTAAATATTCTAATATGATATCAGAATTATAAATTTTAAACTTGTATCTCTTTCTCACCGATAGACAACAAGCCGACAACCTTGACTTTGTTACCCACTAGAATCTTCTACACATACCTGTGATACTTACTCCCTCCGTCCCATAATATTAGTTCCTTATTCCATTTTTCATTGTCTCAAAATATTAGTCCCTCTTTAAAAATCAAGTACAAAAATAATATAAATTTCCCATTTTGCCCTTCTTTTAAATTCATAAATAATATAAAAAGTATAATTATGACATTGATATTTCTAAAAAAGTGTACTATCAAAGAGTAATTTTGAAAAATCAAATTTTTAAAAGTACAATAATTGTACTATCAAAAAAATTAAATTTCCCAAAAGAGACCATTATTGTGAGACGGAGGGAGTAGGTTTATTTATTTATTTGTAATGAATTGAGCCAATGACCTGCTCAACCGGTTACCATCCTCTTCTCATCCATAAATAGTAATGGTAGGTGAAGTGTTCTTTATTTTCATTCCTCAAGGCCTTTTCTTTGTTGGGGAAGGTGAGTCTTCTTCTATTTATTTTTATTCTTTGTTTCTGGTGCTATATAGCCTTTATTGTTCTTAAAACACCCTTAACCTTTGGAAAATGATCTCAACTCTCTCATTTTTGTTCAATATAGGTTTTAATGTATTATTCAATATAGGTTTTAATGTATTATTCAAGACCTTGGTCCGATAAATTCTTGAGAACATATAATCCTCTCATTTCATATATATTGGATAATTATTATGCATGATATAAAGTATAGTCAATCTTCTCTCTTTTGTTTTTAGTTTTTTTTTTTTTCCTTTTTCTAAAAAAAACTTTCTTGCTAAATAGTATGATCCATCATTCTTTTTGACTAAGGTGATGTTTCTTACAGTCTAAATGGATATTTATAATGTTTTATATTTTTAAGATTTTATGATAGGTCGTTTGTTGTACTTTTTACAGTAAAATAGTTTAAATAAAATGATTATCTTGATCCAGGTAGCAATAATGCTTTTAAATTCTGTCTTATAGGTTATTAACTTTCAATTTAGAATAAAAATGTATCAAATAGGTAAAAAAGTTATTATTCCAAGTATAACTTCTTGTTCAAAGCTGCATGTATCTGTTTGATAGAGTCCAAAGTGTAGGATGGTGGATGCCCAAAAAAAAAGTACAGAAATACAAAAATCGATCACAGAATCATACATAATAATCATTTTATTATCCTTTCATATGAGTGTGAAATCTATTTACGTGAGAGGGTAGTGTCCAATTTCGTGATTAATTTTTGTGCAAATAGAAGCATTGATACCCAAATATATATATTTGTTTTTCTAACCGACAGACAAAGAGAGCTAACCTTTAATTTTTTATTTTTTTTGGTAGCTTAAATAGTGATTGTGTTCAGAAATTTGTATTAAAAAAAAATGACTTGGGAGTTATCACCACGAGTAGCTGACAAGAAGATAATTGAGGGAGAGGGTGGATCATATTGGAGTTGGTCAAGTTCCAAGTTTCCATTGCTGAGTGAAGCTAAGGTTGGTGCTGGAAAGCTTCTTCTTCATCCTAATGGCTTTGCTCTCCCTCATTATGCTGATTCCTCCAAGATTGGTTTTGTTCTTCAAGGTAAACACTACTTCTTCCCCTTTTACCAACTTCTCTCACACAAGCAAAAAAAAAAAAAAAACTCCTCTCGGACTAGTTCAACCCACTCTGAATCTATATCGGCCCGCTTCAATAATTCAAACGGCTCATTTTGTGAAGTTAATCTTTAAGAAAAATAATATTTATTTGAACAACACAATTAAAATTTTAAAAAAAATTAAAAATAATATAAATAGAAACTCCATTTGGGTAAAGGACAACTTGTTGTACAAAGAAAATTAGTCATTTTGGATATTATAAAAGAGAAATATTAGAGATCCTTAAAATGTGATTTTTAAATTTACTCTTGATGTGACATGAGATTGAATTTTAAGTAATTACTTTTTAAATCAATCAATAACTGACATACAATAATTCATATCATTGTAAATAGATTTAATGGTCAATTTTTTTTAAGTTTCTCAAGTTTTTCAGTTAATCATATACAAACTAAAACCAAATTTACAACTTAAAAAAAATAAAAAATAATTTTTTTTTTTACTTTACTCACATGATACAATACAGGGAGGTGCACAGTAGGAATGGTATTCCCAAATGCATCAGAAGAAAAAGTGTTGGCAATCAAGAAAGGGGATGCAATACAGGTACCGGCCGGAGGGCTGTCATGGTGGTTCAATGGTGGAGACACCGATATGGTTATGGTGTTCATTGGAGAAACTTCGAAGGCTTACAATCCTGGTGAATTCACCTACTTCCTCTTGTCAGGGACACTAAGTGTCTTGAAGGGTTTCTCTACAGACTTTGTTTGTAGAGCTTATAACATAAATAAAGAAGAAGCAAATGAGCTGGTGACGAGCCAAACAGAGACTTTGATCATCAAGATTGAAGAAGGAACAACTATGCCCCAACCATGCAAAGACACCAACAATGGAAGGTAGGGGGGTTGGTTGAGTTTTCTGTATATTTTTTAAAAAAATTAGAAATTAATTTGACAAAAATAGATATTAAAAGATATATTTTTGAATTTTCTAAACTTATTTCCGCCTTAAAAAAGGAGAGAACAATGTCAATATAATGAGTGTTATTGTTATTTTTTGGGGGGTAAATTATAAATATAGATTTGATTAAAATACGAATCGTTCTTGTTGTTCTGAAAATTGCATTCCACCCCTGAGGTTTCTAATTTTATAACAAATTGTCATTTTTATTAATAAATCATCAAGTCAATTAACCGTTTTTAATGATATTAGAAATATGTTTCAATTAATAATTTAGGTAATTTTATTATTGTATAGGAGAGTAATTATGAATTTTATTTTTTTAATTAATTCTATTAAATAAAAAATTCCAACAAGGGGGTATTTGTAATTTTTCAAACCATATGAGACAATTTGTGCTTTAAGCAAACCGCGACTTCTTTTTTGAAATATAAGTAGCTTTATAGTTTTGGAATAATTACATCGATTTCTTTTTTAATAAAGTTAAAACGATTGAAATTAATGCAAATAGTGTAAAAATACGAGAAAAAATATATATTTCAGTGTAAAATAGAAGATAACACAATTTTTTCATTCATATGACTAATAAATTATTGATGAAAATAGAATTAAGTATTATGCGAATTTAGAGATTATGGAATTTATTGTATTTTTTTTAAAATTTTAAGAAAGTTAATGTAATTTATCCATTTATTAATTGCTCTTACCAATTCTTTTCATACTACTTATGCAAGTAATTGTCATTGCAAAAAAACAAAGAAAAACGCTACATTTACCGCATCTAACCAAAATTTCTGACTTCGTCCCTACCAGCAACAACACAGTCATCAACATCGAGACTGCATTGGCTGACACAGATGTCAAGAATGGTGGATTGCTGACAAAATTTACTGCAAAAGAACTGCCTTTGCTTGAACAAGTTGGGCTTAGTGCCAAGCTTGTGAAGTTGGGTGCAAATGAAATGTCACCAATACTGTATGGTGCTGGTTCATCAGTTGAGGTAACTTACATTGTGAAAGGCAGTGGTAGGGTCCAAATTGTGGGGATCAATGGTGAGCTTGCTTTGGACACCAAAGTGCATAGTGGTGACTTGTTTGTTGTGCCAAGGTTCTTTGTGGTAGCCATAGTTGCAGGTGGAGATGGGATGGAGTGTTTCTCTGTCATAACTTCTTCACAGTAAGTACCTTCCTTCTCAATTGAGAGAATGAAAGCTCATTCAATTTTGTGATTAATTTTTGTGTTCTTAGACTAATTTTTTCTTAATTGTTTCTCTTTGCAGACCTGTGTTTGGAGAGTTAAGTGGCAATACATCTATATGGAAAGCTTTATCTCCAGTGGTTCTACAAACTTCTCTTGGTGTCACTCCAAAGTTTTCTCTACTTTTCATTTCCAAGAATTAGATCACAAACACCACAATTCTCATCCCTTCATCAAATTAAATTCTAGCATATTTAAAACATTATTAGTAGCCCATTTAATTCCTTGTTATATGTATATTTCTTTTTGGAGATGAAATGTGTTGAGAAATAAATTGAATTGTTTGTAATCTTTATTTTATTGTTGTTTGGTAATGCGCCACATGGAGCAACTTGGATTGTGCGTCACAGGAGGCGGCTTGGATTGTGCGCCAAGGGGCAGATCGCTAGATCATTTGGGGTCCTTTACATATTTTTTTTTCATTCAACGAAATTTATTTTTGAAGGTAAAGGACAAAAGATTTATATCAAAATCACAAAAAATACTTAATATTACATTACAACAACTAATAAGGCCAAGTTTGGCAAGTTACCAAAAAGTTAAAAACTCAAAAAGTTAAAAAGTTATCACTATTCATCAAAAGTCAAAAATTACGGTTGCACAACTCCAATCTTAATTTTTTCCTACACACTAATTTATACAATTTTTTAATACATATTTTTTCATAAAAAGTCAAAAAGTTAGCCCAAATATCCATATTTTTTTCTTCAATTTTTTAGTCTAAAAAGTACACTTATTTAGGACACCCCAAATAACCCCTAAGTTCGTGGTCAACCAAAAAATATTTTAAAAAAATTATTACCAAAAGTCTAAACTTTTTTAAAAATTTAAGGTATGTTTAGGTTGAGAGTTTCAAAAAAAATTCGCTGATAATTTTTTGCTTAGGAGGAGTTCTATTCAAACTCACAAATTATATTTTGCTTTTCAAATTCAATAATACAATAATATATTATAATATTTAAGGAAATTTTTTTCTCTCATATATTATTTAAGTATTAATTAATCATATCTTTTACACACTATTAAGTGTAGAAAATAAATTTATATACTATTTTGCTTTTTAATGTATCAGTTCTATACACATATTTTACTACTTCTATTTTATAATTTGCAAATTTATTTTTGAAAAATATTTTCTATACAAAATTTTGTACATATAAAATTGGTGTTTGTTTTCAACTTGTAAACTGTTTCGCTTCGCTTGTGACAAGATGATTTCGTAGTAGGTATGAATGTTTTGTCTCTTTTCGCAAGTTGACGTTTGTGTTTTCAGGTGACAAAGCGACGTCGTACGGAGGAGCGTGGACTTGGTCAACAGGATTATACGAGGAGAATTATTTCCTCCCCGTACATATACTATTTTGCATTTTAATGTATCAGTTCTATACACATATTTTACTACTTCTATTTTATAATTTGCAAATTTATTTTTGAAAAATATTTTCTATACAAAATTTTGTACATATAAAATTGGTGTTTGTTTTCAACTTGTAAACTGTTTCGCTTCGCTTGTGACAAGATGATTTCGTAGTAGGTATGAATGTTTTGTCTCTTTTCGCAAGTTGAGAAGGAATGGACAATTTTATTTGAACAATGCTATAGGTTACTAATTTGTTATCACTAATTTCATCATTAGTGAGGTAACATTTAAAAAAAAAACACACACATTATAGCAGTGGGTGAGCCACCACTAATTAATTGTTTAAAGCATTTTTTATTTTATTTTAGGACCTACTTCTAATATAAATAAAACAAAAATGATTTAGAGCTCTAAAAAATGAGCTCTAAATCCATCACTAGTGTGTTTGTAGTGGGGTCCAGTGATGGACTGTGTCTTGTTTTCTTTTCTTTTTTTTTATTTCCTCCATACCAGCTCATTAGAGCTGGCATTAGAGCTGCTGGATTAGAGCTCTCCAGCAGTGCTCATAAATAAAATGACTAGATTCCATTCCAATTATGATTGGCCATGATTGAAATGATGTGGTATTATCCGTTCACTTATTAATTAATATTCAATAAAAATATAAAATTAAAATTTAATATGATCAAACACTTAACAACACTTAAGTCTTAACTTAGTAAACAATAGCTTTTTAAATTTTAATTTATTTACATATTAATTAATAAATAAGAAAATTGTTTAAGAGCTCTAAAATATTGAGCTCTAATAGCTCTAAAAATACTGTAACCCTAATTGATGTGATGTTTTACTCTTTATTTATTTTTATTTTTTTAATTTTCAGCACTGCCAGCTCATTAGAACTGGCTTAATGGTCCCTTTTTAGTGGTCCGTAGAACCAATGAATAAATAATAGAACACATCGTATCATCCCAATCACGTTACCGACACGGTACCTATAATATTTTTCATGCCGTGTCCAATCATCCCAGCTCCAATTTTTACACACGTATGGCATCTAATCATCCCACCTCCAATTTCAACACACCATACACGTGTCATCATCCTCTTCTTCTTTTTTGTGTGGATATTCAACAGTAATGTACAAAATCTGACCATATCTATATAGGGTGATTATTGAGACCCTCTCTGATCACCATCTCCATAAACACGTGACGGGTGGTAATTAGAGGAGAATGAATAAAATAAAAGATAGAAAGAAAAAGTAACGAATCAGGTGAAGAGGGAGCCAAGGAAATGAGGAAAAAATGAGATCTTATTGATCTATATATCACGACATTCAATAATAATCATATGTAGTGATGACCCAAATATTTTTGTGTCCCACGACAAATCTCTAGAAAAGAATTTTGAGTTAATATTGTAAATAATTATTACGTAATTCTTTTAAAAATGGAACACTTTTGGAAAATTTTGATAGCGTTTGGTAGAGTTTTGTAAATGTGATTTGAGAGTATGAGTTGTATTTTGAGTTTCTGAATTGTGGAATTATGATTTGAGTGTAGAAAATTTGTTTAGTTATGGTTTTTAAATAGAGTGTTGAATTGTGTTTTGAAGATATATTTTGAATTAAGTTTTGAAAGTTTGATGTGACATGTGAACTAAGAAAATTTATTTGGTAATGAGTTTTGAAAGTAATTTTCAAAGCTTAACTCAATCAATAATTTATAATCAAACACACAATTCATATATCGATATCCGTATTTTTTATCAACAGTAATAACCAAACTATTTTTTAAATACTGAAATTAAAAATTGATTTTTTTTTCAATTAATTGTTTTTCAGTAATTTTTTGGAATAATTTTTTTTCAAATAATTTTTTCATTTTAACTTACTTCTATGTCAATTATTTTCGGTCAATTAATTTTTCTATCAATTCATTTTTTAGGCCTGTACAAACATCTTGTACAATACATATTTTTTTTTTCTAAAATTTTGTTAATGTCAACAACTTTTAAGAATACATATTAATAAAAATTAACATAAATAAGTATGTTTAATATTTTAAAATACAAATCATAACGTAAACGTTTCCAAACATTATCAATATTTTTTCATTTATTACATTTTACTAATTTAATAAAAAAAATCGTTTCTTTTTATTGGTGCAATTTTTTGGAATAATTTTTTTTCAAATAATTTTGTCATTTTAACTTACTTCTATGTCAATTATTTTCGGTCAATTAATTTTTCTATCAATTCATTTTTTAAGCCTGTACAAACATCTTGTACAATACATATTTTTTTTTTTCTAAAATTTTGTTAATGTCAACAACTTTTAAGAATACATATTAATAAAAATTAACATAAATAAGTATGTTTAATATTTTAAAATACAAATCATAACGTAAACCTTACAAAATATTATCAATTTTTTTTCATTTATTACATTTTATTAATTTACTAAAAGAAACGTAACACTCATTCACATGTATTATTGTACTTCGCAGAAAGTTCCCACCCGTGAAGCTCATATAATTAGGGGTGATATTGGTGTGCAAAATGACTATTTTGCCCCTGTTGATTTAAATGAGAAGTTGTTACATAAGAACAAAATAAAAATGGTAATATAGTAATTTTACTTATCCAATACCTACTGCCTATTCTATTGTAGCTGTCTATTCAACATTGTGGTAGGCTAAAGAAAAAGGAAGACGGTGCAGATGATGCCAGAACCTGCAGATTTATCAGTATACAGATGTAATTAAATTAAAGAATTAAATTGGATAAAAAAAATTAATAGATAAGAAATGAAAAGTAAATAAAAAATCTGGACTACAACCTTTTGAACCTTTTGAACCTCAGCCTTTTGAACCTTTTGAACCCCAGCCTTCTATAAAATCTGAATCTGGTAATACAGTATACCCCATCGCACGGATATTCTTCCAGCCAGTCATCCCGGCCCAGGCATCATTCCTCAGTTTCCGTATCTGTTGCCGATCTGTTAATTTTTTTCATATCTATTCCATTTTGATCTGTTAATTTTTTTCATATCTGTTCCAATTTTTTCACACCAACATCATACTGTTTGATATATGTTTCATACATTTTTCTTACCTCATAGCCGATCTAATAATTTTTTTTCGTATCTGTTCCATTTTGATCTGTTAATTTTTTTCATATTTGTTCCAATTTTTTCACACTAACATCATACTGTTTGATATATTTTTCATACATGTTTCTTACCTCATATGTTTTAATATACATTTTTCATACATTTTTTTTCACTTTTGCAGTCATCATACCAAGAACAAAACGAACCAGACCCGAACGTAGTGAATTCTCAAACCCTGTACCACTACCACAACAACAACATCATGGCTATCCAACTAATGATTTTTTCACATATCATCATGAACAAGCCTATTCACATTTCATTAATCGACCAATTGTTATGGGGAGAAACGTAAAACTACCTTCTCAATATGATCCACTTTTACTTGGCAAATTAGATACAATGGGATGGTTACAATTAACTAATTTACCAAATAAGATATATCCCCGTCTTGTTCAATTATTTTATGTTCACTTGACACCTGGTGACCAACAAAATGAACCGTTCAGTCTTACCTCTTATGTTAAGGGAAAAAGAATCACACTCTTTTTCCATGCTTTCGCACAAATTATTGGAGTTGAAACAGGAGATTTACAATACTATTTTCAAAATGAGTCTGCCTTAGAAAAAATTGTTGATTATATTCCTTAGATTTATACCACAATTTGTGACAACTGATTCAGTAGTACTAATTTACAAGCCAGACATTTAAAACCCCATCTTCATATTCTTCATCGATGGATAGTTGAAAATGTCACTTCCAAAAAAGGCCATTATGATACTGTTTCATGTTTTAATGTTTATTTGTTATATTGTTTTGAAAT